GTTATGTTGAGTTGGATTGTTATCCCAAAAAAAATGTTGATAAGTTGTTATATTATGTTCAAAATTTGTAAAAGTTTAAACTGCCAAATTGATTTGCACTCATCCGCCAATTCGCCAACCCTTTCAATCAATATCCGCTAATCTAGCAGATAGATGCGGATTGATTTTTTCTAATCCACCAATCCAGCAAACGGATGGCGGATTGAAGGTTCCCCGACCGCAACCGAACCGTGAACACCCCTACTTTCCATTGTGTTTAGTTGAAGGATTTAAAGAGGGATTTGGAAAAAGAAAAAGAAAATGTGTGTGAAATTAGGTGAAATGTAAGTATATTTTATTCACATTTCACCTAATTGCTAAGGGCAAATTCACCCCCTGATACCAAAGTTGCTAGTTGGGGGAAATGTAAGTATATTTTATTCACATTTCACCTACTTTTTCATTTTCCTTTCCAAATCTTTCCTCAAATTCCCCAATTAAACACAACATTCATGTATAATCAATCTTCTTCAATAATATTTTATTATGGACTGACCCCATGACATACATGCTAGCCACTCTGGTGGTTTAATCTTGATAGGGGTGTAAATCTGGCTCGGTCCGACCCACTTGGGCCTGGGCTCCCGTCAAAATTCGGGTCGGGTTGGGTCGGTCCACGGGCAAAAAACGTAGACTCGGGCCCTAGCCCAAGCCTAGGGGCATTCGGGCTTTGGGTGAGTCTGATTATTTTTTTGTTTTTTTAATTTTTTCTATCAAAATTTTATTATTTTTCACTAAAAAAGATATTGGGCCTCGGGTAGGTCGGGCCTTGGACCGGGCCTTGAGTAGACCTTAAGTGGACTGATAGACTGGGCCAGGCAGACCGGGCCAGGGTTCAAAATGATGACCCAGTCCCAGGGACTTAGGCTGGGTTCGACCGAGACCCAAATGGGCAGGGCTTACCTCGGGTTGCAGGCCATTTTTGCACTCCTAAGTCTTGATGACTAATGTTTTTGATGGACCTTCTTGCACTTCTCTAGGATGTTCACTAACAGACAGCTATTTGTACATTATGAATGTTTGCAGGAATTTTGAACTCGTGTGTTATTATAGGGTGGTTAAGGAATTAGGAGTTTAGCCTAGTTTAAGTTAAAGTTTACACACAAACAAAAAAAAAATAAAAAATAAAAAATAAAAAAATAAAAATAAAAATAAAAAATGTTAAAATAATTAATAAGACAAAATGTCACGTCAAATTCATAATCATTTCACTTTTTCTTTCACAAGCATCACATCCAATTATAAAAAAGTTTAATCTTCTATCAAAACACAAAAATTTTAGCATACTAAAATAACCAAAATTTAAAATAGCCTACTAAAATAGCAATTTCTCAAAAACCCACTATGTTTACCAGATAGTAGTGCAAAGGACATTGTTGAATCTGCTAATTTTAAGATGAAACGTTGTGGGGTGGGCTTTGTAATTGCCTAAATCAATCTCTTCTGATCTGTTAATCATCCAGTTGACTAGTGTGTATCAATACATATATTACATTTTACCTTTTTGCAGAATGCTAAAATCATTTTTTTCTAGAGTTTTATCCACCTGATACACCATTACCAAAAAAATAAAAATAAAAATTCTGCCTAATCTATAATTGAACTGTTAAGATAGGACTAAACTTTGTGCTTATTGTTTATTAGGTTGAGCGCAGCTTTGGACTTGTGGGTTTGAGTTTGAGGCATATTTTGTGAGAAAAATATATTCAAACTGGTTTTACCCTTTTATCTAATCTATCCTAAAAAACATGAGACTTAGGTCAGCAAGTTCTAACGAATACAACCAGAAGTGGGAACTCATATACTCCATCTTATCAACTCCATCTTATATTTGTTAAGTTTTGCTCTTGATATGCACAGTATATATACCCAGGAAAACTATCAAAACCAACCCATCATCACCATTCGAAGGCAAAACATTTTCATTCTCGAAGTCTCATCTTAAACTCATGGCAAGCTATCCACTGAAGAGCATAATTTTCTTTCTTCTCCTAGCCCTTGCAATTACATGTGTGACATCAGCTCGAATCCTCGATGAGGAGGTACCAGCTGTCCCCGCCATTGCACCCGTGGCACCTGATTCACACGAAACACCTGTTTCCCCTGTAACTCCTGTGGCTTCTGTCCCAGCTACTGCCACTGGTGCCGTGGCTGGCGCTGCAAGCCCTGACCATACACTGACCTTGTTCATGCACGACATACATGGTGGCTCAAACCCTTCAACTAGAGCAGTGACGGGCATTGTATCTAACCCAGCTGTCACGGGTCAAGTCCCCTTTGCCAAGCCAAACGGTGCTGTCCTCCCAGTTAACAATGGCGTCCCTGTCAACAATGCCAACAGCGGTGTTATCAACAATAACAACTTTCCCTTCCTCACTGGCCTCAGTGGAAGCACAGCTAATGTCATCCAAACCAATGGTAACGACATCGTCAAGGGAGGTTTCCTGAATGGTCCCCAGCTCCCTTCAGGGAATGCGCTCCAGAAGCTCATGTTTGGGACAATGACTATTTTTGAGGAAGAATTGACTGAAGGGCATGAGCTAGGGTCCGGTTTGGTTGGTAAGGCGCAAGGGTTTTATGTGGCTAGTTTGGAAGATGGGAGCAACCAGGTCATGGCCTTCACCACCATGTTTGAGAGTGGCCGTTATGGTGATAGCCTCAGCTTCTTTGGTGTGCATCGAATTGCTGTCTCGGAATCCCATCTTGCAATCATGGAAGGTGTTGGTAAAAATACCAGAAAAAATTATATGTTATTGATAAATGATGCAAAGAAAATGAGATACCAATAGATCAGGCCGAGGCACGGATATCTCGTTTTCTTTAAGGAGATCAAGCCCACTGCGGTAGGAAGAACTCCAATACTGATGCAGCAGTCACAAAACTATGACTTGTCCCCTCCAGGATACAACAGCCAGACCACTTGTCGTATGGTTCAGGCCAACTCTGCACAAGATGGTGAACCCAACGCTCCACCAATAAAACACCATTCTTTGCTAGTAATCTCTCTTGTATAGAAAATAGTTGAGGTGTTAGTGGTGTAGAAAAGAGTAGATGAGAGGGACTATTTATAGGCAACTAGGACCTTACAATTACACCAAAAATAAAGACCATTAAATAGGAGAAAATGGTTACACCAAAATAATGACGGGCATTGTATCTAACCCAGCTGTCACTGGTCAAGTCCCCTTTGCCAAGCCAAACGGTGCTGTCCTCCCAGTTAACAATGGCGTCCCTGTCAACAATGCCAACAGCGGTGTTATCAACAATAACAACATTCCCTTCCTCACCGGCCTCAGTGGAAGCACACCTAATGTCATCTAAACCAATGGTAACGACATCGTCAAGGGAGGTTTCCTGAATGGTCCCCAGCTCCCTTCAGGGAATGCGCTCCAGAAGCTCATGTTTGGGACAATGACTGTTTTTGACGAAGAATTGACTGAAGGGCATGAGCTAGGGTCCGCTTTGGTTGGTAAGGCGCAAGGGTTTTATGTGGCTAGTTTGGAAGATGGGAGCAGCCAGGTCATGGCCTTCACCACCATGTTTGAGAGTGGCCGTTATGGTGATAGCCTCAGCTTCTTTGGTGTGCATCGAATTGCTGTCTCGGAATCCCATCTTGCAATCATGGGAGGTGTTGGTGAAAATACCAGAAAAAATTATATGTTATTGATAAATGATGCAAAGAAAATGAGATACCAATAGATCAGGCCGAGGCATGGATATCTCGTTTTCTTTAAGGAGATGAAGCCCACTGCGGTAGGAAGAACTCCAATACCGATGCAGCAGTCACAAAACTATGACTTGTCCCCTCCAGGATACAACAGCCAGACCACTTGTCGTATGGTTCAGGCCAACTCTGCACAAGATGGTGAACCCAACGCTCCACCAATAAAACACCATTCTTTGCTAGTAATCTCTCTTGTATAGAAAATAGTTGAGGTGTTAGTGGTGTAGAAAAGAGTAGATGAGAGGGACTATTTATAGGCAACTAGGACCTTACAATTACACCAAAAATAAAGACCATTAAATAGGAGAAAATGGTTACACCAAAATAATGACGGGCATTGTATCTAACCCAACTGTCACTGGTCAAGTCCCCTTTGCCAAGCCAAACGGTGATGTCCTCCCAGTTAACAATGGCGTCCCTGTCAATAATGCCAACAGCGACGTTATCAACAATAACAACATTCCCTTCCTCACCGGCCTCAGTGGAAGCACACCTAATGTCATCCAAACCAATGGTAATGACATCGTCAAGGGAGGCTTCCTGAATGGTCCCCAGCTCCCTTCAGGGAATGCGCTCCAGAAGCTCATGTTTGGGACAATGACTGTTTTTGACGAAGAATTGACTGAAGGGCATGAGCTAGGGTCCGCTTTGGTTGGTAAGGCGCAAGGGTTTTATGTGGCTAGTTTGGAAGATGGGAGCAGCCAGGTCATGGCCTTCACCACCATGTTTGAGAGTGGCCGTTATGGTGATAGCCTCAGCTTCTTTGGTGTGCATCGAATTGCTGTCTCGGAATCCCATCTTGCAATCATGGGAGGTGTTGGTGAAAATACCAGAAAAAATTATATGTTATTGATAAATGATGTAAAGAAAATGAGATACCAATAGATCAGGCCGAGGCACGGATATCTCATTTTCTTTAAGGAGATCAAGCCCACTGCGGTAGGAAGAACTCCAATACCGATGCAGCAGTCACAAAACTATGACTTGTCCCCTCCAGGATACAACAGCCCGACTACTTGTCGTATGGTTCAGGCCAACTCTGCACAAGATGGTGAACCCAACGCTCCACCAATAAAACACCATTCTTTGCTAGTAATCTCTCTTGTATAGAAAATAGTTGAGGTGTTAGTGCTGTAGAAAAGAGTAGATGAGAGGGACTATTTATAGGCAACTAGGACCTTACAATTACACCAAAAATAAAGACCATTAAATAGGAGAAAATGGTTACACCAAAATAATGACGAGCATTGTATCTAACCCAGCTGTCACTGGTCAAGTCCCCTTTGCCAAGCCAAACGGTGCTGTCCTCCCAGTTAACAATGGCGTCCCTGTCAACAATGCCAACAGCGGTGTTATCAACAATAACAACATTCCCTTCCTCACCGGCCTCAGTGGAAGCACACCTAATGTCATCCAAACCAATGGTAACGACATCGTCAAGGGAGGTTTCCTAAATGGTCCTCAGCTCCCTTCAGGGAATGTGCTCCAGAAGCTCATGTTTGGGACAATGACTGTTTTTGACGAAGAATTGACTGAAGGGCATGAGCTAGGGTCCAGTTTGGTTGATAAGGTGCAAGGGTTTTATGTGGCTAGTTTGGAAGATGGGAGCAGCCAGGTCATGGCCTTCACCACCATGTTTGAGAGTGGCCGCTATGGTGATAGGCTCAGCTTCTTTGGTGTGCATCGAATTGCTGTCTCGGAATCCCATCTTGCAATCATGGGAGGTGTTGGTGAAAATACTAAAAAAAATTATATTTTATTGATAAATGATGCAAAGAAAATGAGATACCAATAGATCAGGCCGAGGCACGGATATCTCGTTTTCTTTAAGGAGATCAAGCCCACTGCGGTAGAAAGAACCCCAATACCGTTGCAGCAGTCAGAAAACTATGACTTGTCCCCTCTAGGATACAACAGCCCGACCACTTGTCGTATGGTTCAGGCCAACTCTGCACAAGATGGTGAACCCAACGCTCCACCAATAAAACACCCTTCTTTGCTAGTAATCTCTCTTGTATAGAAAATAGTTGAGGTGTTAGTGGTGTAGAAAAGAGTAGATGAGAGGGACTATTTATAGGCAACTAGGACCTTACAATTACACCAAAAATAAAGACCATTAAATAGGAGAAAATGGTTACACCAAAATAATAACCATTAACCAAGTTCATGAATTCTATTTAACCTCCATTTATGACCAAGAGGTTACCAAAGTAATGAAATCCCATTTATGAAAAAGATAAATCAATAAATAAATATAAGATATTAAAATGGTCCAACAATCCCCTACTCATTTTAATATCAAAAAGTAAAAATAAAAATGAGAGAGATTGCCAAACGAAGATAGATTAATATGCATCATGAAGGTGTGTTCTGCATTGAACCTTCATTAGTGAAACAACAATCTCTACTCCAGAGTCAGTAGTGGTCTCAGACTTGAACTATGACTGCTTAGGGGAAATAAAGAATTACTGCTCACACATAATAATCTAGGTGTTGACATGAGCTTTAATAGCTAGCACATTACGGCCTTGTGCTAATCCCAGTTTTCATGAGCATATTTGAGAATAAGCCTTGTTCTCATAGAAAGCGGCCCCACTTTCATGCTCACATAGGTGGAATCTGTCAAGGATGTTCCTGTAATTTACACACCCCACTCAACAAGAGCTACAGAATTTCATTAAGAGTATAAAAACTCAACCCTCCAACATTACAGGACAAATGCACTTACATCATAGGGATGGATAACAAAATATTAAGGAGTGCATTTTTTACAACCACCATATGATTCGTTCTTCCCATTGAACCTAGTTACAGGATCTCTGGTCCCTAGGTTGGGTATCCTCATACATGGTTTATGATTTTATAGGCTTCAAACCCATCCCCCTCGATGTATTCCAGACCCTATCTCTCGCCAATGCCTTAGTTAACGGATCCGCAAGATTATCACAAGATCTTACATAATTCATAGTTATGATGCCATTACTCAAATAGGATCTCACATTATTGTGTTTCCTTCGAATAGGTCTGGATTTACCATTATAAAAATGATTGTTCACTCTACCAATAACAGCAGTGCTATCACAACGAATTAACACACGAGGAATTTGTTTTTCCCAAAAAGGAATATCATGTAACAAATCTCTCAACCAATTCGCTTCCTCACATGCTGAAAGCTCAGCTTCCATTGTAGAATTAGCAATTATTGTCTGTTTTTTAGACTTCCAACATATAGCACCACCACCCAAGGTAAAAATAAAACCTGAGGTAGAGAGAGAATCACTTGACAAAGTATTCCAATCGGCATCACTATATCCCTCAAGTACCGCAGGATACTTGTTATAAAACAAACCATAATTTTTTGTTCCAAATAAATATCTCATAATTCTTCCCATGGCTAGCCAATGATCTTGACTTGGCTTGCTTGTAAACCTGCTAAGTACTCCAACAGCATATGCAATGTTAGGTCTAGTACAGTCAGTAGCATATCTCAAACTACCAATCATGCTAGCACATTCCTTTTGATTAATCACTTCCTTTTCATTTGTTACAACAGACAAATGTATGCTTGCATCAAAAGGAGTAGCAACATGTTTACAGTCTAGAAAATTATATTTCTTTAACATTTTCTCAACATAATGCGACTGATCAAGAAAAATATCATCATTAGTCTTGGTAATTTTAATTCCCAAAATAAAATTGGCTTCACCAAGATCTTTCATATCAAAGTGGCTGTTAAGCATATTTTTAGTCTCATTTATAATATGCAAATTAGAGCCAAAGATAAGTAGATCATCCACATATACGCTAATAATCACATGTGCATTCTCACAAGTTGTATAATATATGCACTTATCACATTCATTCGTCTTATAGCCATTCTCAAGCATGCAGGAATCAAATTTCTCATGCCATTGTTTAGGAGCTTGTTTTAAACCATAAAAAGATTTAGTTAGCTTACACACCTTACTTTCTTGGCCAGGCTCCACAAAGCCTTCGAGTTGGTCCATGTAAATCTCCTCATCTAGATCTCCATTTAAAAATGCTGTTTTTACATCCATTTGATGAATTTTTAAATCATGAATTGCAGCCACTGCAATCAACAGTCTAATGGATGTAACTCTATTAACCGGAGAAAAAGTATCAAAGAAATCAAGATCAACTTGTTGCTTAAAACCTTTAGCGACAAGCCTCGCTTTATATTTATCTATAGTTCCATCCGGTTTAAGTTTTTTACGAATGACCCATTTACACCCAATAGTTTTACAACCTGGAGGTAAATCCACTAGCTTCCATGTTTTATTTGAAAGTAGTGAGTCTATCTCATCATTTACAGCCTCTCCCCAGAAAATAGCATCAGGTGATGATAAAGCTTCTTGTACTGTAAGAGAATTTCTTCCACATTGTAAAGATAATAGTCAGGGTCAAAATCTTTTTCAACTCTAGCTCGTTTACTTCTTCTTGGTTGGATTTGAAAATTTTCTTTTTCTTGAAAAACTTGAGAGGGAGTAGAAGACCTAGGCATAGATAAAATATTTTCAAAAATTATTTGACCCCCGCTATTTCTAGATTTGAAAGGAAATTTATTTTCATGAAAAATAGTATCACCTAATTCAAAAATAATATTATTTTCCATATCAAAAAATCTATAAGCTGTACTATGCAATGCATACCCAAGAAAAGCACAGGTGGTAGCTCGTTCACCCAATTTAGGTCGTTTAGGATTTGCAAGCCTCACAAAAGCTAAACAACCCCAAACCTTCAAATAACCTAGATTTGGTTTATGCCCCCGCCACAACTCATAAGGTACAATTTTAGCCCTTTTGTGTGGCACTCTATTTATCACATGGCAAGCTGTCAAAATAGCCTCACCCCAAAGATTTGAGGGAGCACATGAATCAATAAGAATAGCATTCGTCAAGTCAATTAACGTTCTATTTTTCCTTTCAGCTACGCCATTAGATGAAGGTGAATATGGTGGAGTAGTCTCATGAATAATTCCCAATGACTGAACAAAAGAGTTGAATCCAAGAGATTCATAATCACGGCCTCTATCACTTCTAATTCTTTTAATCTTTTTACCGAATTGATTTTCCACTTCAAGAAGGAATTCTTTACATTTCTCAAAAGCATCACTTTTATTTTTTAATAAATATACGTTTGTGTATTTTGAAAAATCATCAATAAAAGTGATAAAATATCAGTTACCACCCCGAGTTAAAATTCCTTCAAACTCACACAAATCAGTATGAAATAATTCTAGCAATTCAGTATTTTTTTCAACACTTTTATGAGCCCTCTTGGTAATTTTTGCTTTACTGCAAACTTCACATTTCTCAAATTTTTTTGTCATTTTGGGAATTAACTCTAAACTACTCATGATTCCCACATATTTACTATTTATATGACACAAGCGAGCATGCCAAAAATTAATAGAAGACAAAGTGTAAATAAGTAAATTTAAGAGATAAAAGCGACGTTTATACTTATCTGTATTATAGGAAGCCACTTTTGCTTCATGTGCCTCGTAGTCTTCATCATTCATCTCCTCGGTTAGGAATTTGTTTGGATTCTTTTCGGTAAAAACATATGCAACTTTCAAAAGGCTAAGGTAAAAAAGAACTTTTCCTTTCCACCTCTTAAAATGAACTCTTTTGAACTTGAAAGGCTTGTTGAGATCTCCAATTCCATCATTGGTTTTTTTTGGCACTTATTCCATGTTTGATATCCTTAAAATTGTTGGTGAAAATACCAGAAAAAATTATATTTTATTGATAAATGATGCAAAGAAAATGAGATACCAATAGATCAGGCTGAGGCACAGATATCTCGTTTTCTTTAAGGAGATCAAGCCCACTGCGGTAGAAAGAACCCCAATACCGATGCAGCAGTTACAAAACTATGACTTGTCCCCTCCAGGATACAACAGCCCGACCACTTGTCGTATAGTTCAGGCCAACTTTGCACAAGATGGTGAACCCAAAGCTCCACCAATAAAACACCCTTCTTTGCTAGTAATCTCTCGTGTATAGAAAATAGTTGAGGTGTTAGTGGTGTAGAAAAGAGTAGATGAGAGGGACTATTTATAGGCTACTAGGACCTTACAATTACACTAAAAATAAAGACCATTAAATAGGAGAAAATGGTTACACCAAAATAATGACCATTAACCAAGTTCATGAATTCTATTTAATCTCCATTTATGACCATGAGGTTACCAAAGTAATGAAATCCCATTTATGAAAAAGATAAATCAATAAATAAATATAAGATATTAAAATGGTCCAACAGGAGGTACTGGAAAGTATGTCAATGCTAAGGGATATGAAATTGTGAAGATGTTCCCAGCTGCCAACCAGCAAAACAATGATGGAGTGGAGACTCTGCTCCAAATCACTGTGTATCTCACTTATTAGTAGTATGTTTGGGTTTAATGGTGGTTGTTCAAGAGTGTTTTTAGATCTCTTTATGACATATTTGAATGCTAAAAATCCTTGTTTTTATTGAAATTTATTGAAGTTTGAGAGCATAAACTTCAGCCATATTACTTCTTTCATTTCCTATAAGTCTCTGGTTTACAATTCTGTAACCATTGCAATCGAATGACTTTGGAAAAATTTCTGGTGGTTGGATATATATGGTCCTAACTTAAGTTTCAGAATTCGACTAAGTCCGGTTACTTGCAACTGAAATTGTGTCGCATGTTGCGAATTAATTATGATCTGCATTAGTTGTTACAGGGAACTTTTCAGCAATACTTGTTTTACTGCTAGAGTTGGGGACTAAATTTATGTCACATCCAAGTTGTCTTGTAAATTTTCATTCACTTATTCGCAAATTTTCCCAACAGTAGTCCCACCATGTTTGCTCCATCAAGGTTGTTATTACATGTACAATTAGTCACACAAATTATTCTGTGTTTAAACTTGTGTTTGTTGATCTTTCCATTAAAAAAGAAAACCTTTTGTTTGTAGTTGTAAGTCTATTGATGGCAGTTTGCACTGTTTACAAAGGTGAATTGCTTGGCCTCGTAACCAAACAGTCTGATACAAGTGGATAATTAGTTAACTGATGAGTAAGCAAGAGTTAGTTGGAAGAGTTAAGTTAGTTAGTTGGTGAATCAGTGTAATTAGTTACAGCCACTACTAGAAAAAGTACTTTTTGCGACTGCTATCAGCCATCGCAAATAATAAAAATACAGTTGAAAAAGGCCTTTTGCGACGGCTCATGCGACAGCAAATGGGGGTCGCGAATGTGGGGGTGGCAAATATTTTTTTTGACCGCAAAATAGCCGTTGCAAAATATTTACGACCGCATAATCTACTTATGGCGATTAATGTTTTGTTGTCGCAAAAGAATTTTAAAAAAAATGTCTACAATGTATTAGCGACCATCCTGTTACCGTCGCAAATTTTTTTTTTTATAAAAAAGGCCTACAATATTTTAGCAACCTATATTCTCATATATATATATTCAAATATTATATACAATAAATGTAAAGTGATATTTGCAAAAATGCTAATACTTATGTATTATTTTCCATCACTTCTCTCAACAAAATTATCTTTCTTCAAAAAAAAAAAAAAAAATGTAAAGTGATGTTTCATTTCGTTTATTTTTCACAATTTTGTTCTGGATTTTGTACTACTATTTTTCACAAATATTTCACCGAGCAAAATGGCAATACACTACTCAGCATGGTGGAAAATAAACTTTTAAAGCAATAGAAACACCGAAAATTCCATGGTACATGCTGACACTAGTGATTATGAATAACATCAACCATAGAAGCAGGACCTCAGAATGTTAAAAAAATAAAAAAAATAAAAAAAATCCCAAATTCGATTTCCACTAAGATATAGAAATTGGATTTACTAGGCTTCGTGAAAGGCACTGGCAACTATAAGTCTCGAGTTATGATGATATTGGCGGTAAAGCGTTCCTAGCACCAACATCAACGAGCTACACCCTATTTATCTCTGTATTGACATGGACTGCGTTGCCATCTTCGAAAATTTTACCATTCGCTTGAGTTCTCAGCCTCTAAACAAAGAAAAACAAAAAATGTCAGTACCATATTTAAAAACAGAAGAACAAGAAGGTAAAAGAAAGTTATTGATTCATTAAATATTTGATCTATTGGATCCCCTGAGTTTCCATTTAAGAGGTTGTGATTCTCTTCTTTTGTCCGTCCATCCTAGCTCAACGGTAGCAAAAATGACGCACTGCGGTCAGGTAATTCTGCATAAGACAACTCAAAGTCAATACTAGTGTTTAAAATGCAGGGCTAAAAGGAAAAGATGGAATTAAAGATGAGGAATGGGATGTGAAATGGGAGTTGTACAAATGCTAACCTGGCAACTTGTGGTCAATGAACTACACCACCAAATTAACAGTGTACCTATAACATAATCATATTGTTGAACTACATTAGAGAAATATCAGAAACATGATGGTTCAAAGATATAAATTGACGTGAAATATTATCACTCTACCATGCCACAACAACATCAGTCGTGTAATGTTTGTAGGATGCTACAGTCAACAAGCTTTGGATCACAATAGTAAACCAAACACACTGCTTTATGAACCTGCATTTGTAAATTTCATCAAATCAGAATGTGTATTAGAATTTTGAAGAAAGATAATTTCTGAATCCACTATTAATGTTTGGTTTTCTTGGTTACCATGTAAATGAACATGAGATTCCCCATGATGAATCCAATTTTTGTGTTTTTTAACAAACCCATTGGAAATAAGATGCTCCCTTACAACCTCTCATTAAAAATTGTATCGATTACTACAAAATTAACATGGATAACTAATCGATGAACTTCCATCTCTATTGTTGTATGCAAATCTCAGGAAGTTATCAATCCTGTTCACGTAATCAACTGACATTTGATTTGGCAAATCAACCCAATTCTTGTCCATCTTTCTATTTCTTTAACTGTTTTTGTACACATCCATAAAAAGAATGAGTTTACAAAGTATCACAAATAACACAAAGGTAATAATTTTTAGCATTTTTCTTTTCGAATAACAGGCCAAAAGAATGGATTTGTAAACCATTTAGGATCTCTTTAGGTTCTGAAATTTGAACACAACATAGAACAAGCCCACTTTCATTTCAAAATTTCTTTTATAAGTTACATAACATAACCATAGATTTATCAATAGGTCATTTACTATGTTCTCAACAGTGAATGGTTCTAAAGAAAAATACGAGCTCATACCAAATGAAGTCAAATGATCATGATATTTTTACTGGAGATAGTTCAATAAGTTAGGAAGATATTTCAAGAACTCTAGAGCTAAAAATCACTTTATGATGGAGAACTCATTTTTGAAAAAAAAAACTGGTATATTTAAACAGTGAGTTTAGCAGACTCCAGCACAGGTAGGTTGAGTTAGAAAAATGAATAGAGGCATCAAATGATGTCCAAACTAAGTGAGACTAGCACCATTGGAAAGCTATTTGAGTTAGGGATATTTTATTAGAAAGATGAAAACTCTAAAAATCACATCAAAGGGGTGAAATACAGGTTCAAGCAGTACATGCCTGTTCTTGTCTCGTTTTAGAAAAATGATCATAACTCTCTTAATAAATAATATTTTCCAGCGATTCTTGTGTACATAGAAAGGTAACTCATATATCTAACATTTGGCACTGGTTTCACTCCATAAGGATTTTTTTAGAGAAAATGGCATAGAAACAAAGTGAGGGTTAACTGCTACTCCTAGAAATCTATAGGATCTAACCGTAAAGACAAGAGGTTTTCGAAACTCAAAACGCATCCCATGATCTTACAAAAATGCAAGGATTTTTTAAGACCACAAGATCGTATTACTCTTGAGAGTGTTTGAAATCGAAATTTTTAGGGTAAGGACTGTGTGGCTTGTTTTTGTCTATCCTCACCAAGCCCACTGAAGATTACTTAGTAAAGAGCACAATCAACCTAATTTTTATGCTTGTGTTCTTTTAATACATCAATCACATCCAATTCTTTGGTGCAACTCTGTGCAAAAATGAGTCCCATATGCAAAATTCAATGGCTCTTTCTTTGTGTTGGGCCTTTATTCATTCTATTTTTCAATAGCCATTACTCAAAAGGACATTGTTGAATCTGTTAATTTTAAGATGAACCATGTGGGGTGGGCTTTGTAATTGTCTAAATCAATCTCTTCTGATCTGTTAATTATCCAGTTGACTAGTGTGTATCAATACATATATTACATTTTACCTTTTTACAGAATGCTAAAATTGTTTTTTTTTTCTAGAGTTCCATCCACCTGATACACCATTACCAAAAAAAATAAAAAAATAAAAAAAATAAAAATTCTACTTAATCTATACATAATTGGAACAGTTAAGATAGGACTAAACTTTGTGCTTATTGTTTATTAAGTTGAGTGCAACTTTGGACTTCTGGGTTTGAGTTTGAGGCATATTTTGTGAGAAAAATATATTCAAATTGGTTTTACCCTTTTATCTAATCTATACTAAAAAACATGAGACTTAGGTCTGCAAGTTCTAACGAATACAGCCAGCATGGGAAACTCATATGTATCTACTCCATCTTATCAACTCCATCTTTTATTAGTTAAGTTTTGTTCTTGATATGCATAGTATATATACCCAATCAAACTATCAAAACCCACCCATCATCACCATTCGAAGGCAAGACATTGTCATTCTCGAAGTCTCATCTTAAACTCATGGAAAGCTATCCACTGATGAGAATAATCTTCTTTCTTCTCCTAGCCCTTGCAATTACATGTGTGACATCAGCTCGAATTCTCAATGAGGAGGTACCAACTGTCCCCACCATTGCACCCGAGGCACCTGATTCGCATGAAACACCTGTTTCTCCTGTAACTCTTGTGGCTTCTGTCCTAGCTACTACCACTGATGCCGTGGCTGGCGTTGCAAGCCCTGACCATACACTGACCTAGTTCATGCACAACATACTTGGTGGCTCAAACCCTTTGAAAAATCTAGAAATCCTCTAAATATTGATTTGTGATTATGTATCAATTTTAATGAGTAAATACAATCCCAATCAAACAATCAAAGACAAATCAACACAACAATTTAACATGGAAAAACCACAATTAGAGCGCCTCTAATTGTGATAAAAAAAATCATGGGCAACAGCCACAAAACAATCCACTAAAAAGACATAAAGGAATTACACAATGTACTCTCAATTACCTAGCGAATCCACGCCTGAATCGAACCGACCCCTATGTGCCCTTTCCAGCCCCGTCTTCACCTCGGAATTGTCTTGTCCAACGTTGAATCCATAACGCTGATGTCGAATCACGATGATGAGCCACTCCAGAATCCATCAAATCATCAGGCCTGAATTCCATGGAATCCACTGAAGAACAACACTCTTTTTTGTATTGAACG